CGTCTCCTTCCCCCCCCCCCCCCCCTGTAGATTTTAGTATAATGACAAATCTTTTTCAGCATTCCGAGTCCTTTTGCTCATTGCTGTAGATATCACCTGCCTCCATCCATTTCTGTGATTGGTCAAATTTTTGCAGTTGATGACAAGTATTTGTAGGTCTGTCTGGATCTTAACTCCGCACAGTCCCCTTCGGCTGCATCATGGTCCTCGGCCATTCAACGCTCTTGTGTACAGTTGCGTGTGCGTGTTTTTATTATCTGCCATTCTCTTTGTATGCGCAACCATTTCAGTCTGTTGGTACCCACGATGCCAGTGATCGATAGCGATTTAAAAAGATTGTGAATTTCGCTGCTGCTTCTCACTCTCCATTCTTGTGTGTAATAAAATGGGTTTACAGATTGTCATATGTTAGTTTTAAAGATTCAAAACACCTTAAATTATCCTTGTTAGGCTTTCTTAATATGTCTTTCCAACGCCAACGAATTCTCTTAAAATTCACAAGCGTTGTAGCTCTCCCAGAGAGCAGACATCAGCTGATAAATATTTGCAGTTCATTAGTGACTATTTTAGCCGTTCTCTCTGTTTCTAATGCATACACAGTCCGAGAATTTAAAATAATAAGACTGAATTTTGTTATGGCCTAAATAAAAAATAACATCCAATAGAAAGCATGTAATAGGCATCTTTCAAAACTGTAAGCAGACGACAAGAAACAGTTTAGCTATTGAAAAGTGTGTCGTTCCCTATGCCGGGTAGAGCCAAGGGTGAACCATTAATTCTGTGCCGAACTCGGAAAAGTGCTTTTGATACAAGTGAAATTCAACATCGTACAGAGTTAACAAGTGGCTGGAGACCTTAGACTTTCTCGTTGTCAATGAAAATTTTCGGGTGAGGGGAATTTTAATTCATGAGTCTTATTATTATACATTATTTATGTATATCCCATCTAGTGCTTATCTAAGAAGACTGAATCAGTGAGGCTTTCTTCAGAAAAAGTCTACAACGACAAGTCGAGCACTTCAAGAGGTTCTTATGTTATCTGCTCGAGGCTCAACCAAATTTACTCGCCATCAAAATTCAGAATTCCTAATTTTTTATCATGCTACGCTTACTGAAATAACTAGTTAGCAGTTAGCTAGTCTTTCTTCTTAAATCTATGACGGCGCATGGATCCCTGTGTCTGGCAGTTCTTTGCCACCTGTTATGCGTCTTAGATGTTCATTAGGCCAATAGTTGAGCCTTCCCAAATGATGGTTCTTCTATTCAGGGCCTCTCTTGGTTTTCCCCATTTACCCTTTCCTTCCGGTTTCCATGTGAGGGGCTGATTGCATGGCCGATGTATTTCCAGCGTCCCTTTCTTTTAAAACTAAATACATAACCTTGCTTGGTCTCGTGTTTTATTCGCGGTTTTGATCTGAAATATATCCAGTGGGGATTTAGTATTCTTTTAAGACATCTGTTCTGATATAATGCTTGATATTTTTGTCGTGATGTACTATTTCTATATATGATAGTGTCTTGCTAACATTGTGTCCTGTGACTATTGCTATTTACGTTTATATTATCGTGTGTAATTTATGGTTTCTTCAGCACAAATTCTGTTTCTACCTTAAACGTAATAAAAGACAAAACACTCTTTAAGGAACATTTTGGAGGAAAAAGTCTAAGACAAGAGCGAAGGAGACAAACAACGATACAAGTGGGAGAATAAAATCAAAAGATAAACTAATAACGGTTTGATAGAGTTTACAACTAAGACAAGTGGCATAAAGTGTTGGAGATCTATTGTAGTCAACCTTAACTGTGGAGTCGGCACTTGATTTATTGTAAAGTAAAAATAACAAATCTGCTTTTTCGCTACCTATTTCCCAAACCCAGGTCGATAAGTGAACAAATATTTAGAAGCTAGGGAGATGTGGTGCTTAAGACGAATGATAAAAATACCCTGGACGGATAAAAGGAGTAATTAGGATGTCTTGAAAGAAACTGACTCACGAAGAGAACCGATTGCCCACATCAGAAAGAGACAATCTACATTCTTTAGTCATGTGATAAGTAGGAGAAAACTGTAGTGCATCGTGACAGTATGAAAGCTGGAGGGGAAGAGAGGCAGATGGAGACCGAGAGAAAAGATTCTGGCCAGTTTGACATCATGGCATGGAGGATCATCTGTGTTAAGTTAACTGAAGATACACGGGACAATAGATTGTGGATAGCCATGATTACCAACGCCACACGATATACTTTAAGAAGAAGAAGAATTACCAAAACGAAAATAGTGGTTTTTGAAACTGAAAAAAAAAAAGGAAATTAACATACACGTCTTCTCTTTATTTTCGTTCACCGTATGTTCACTATGGCGGAACGTTCTGGTTCTTCGTCCACTTTCTGGACGTTAGCCTTGTTCTAGAACTTGAGTGTTGTGTACAAATCCGCTTTACATATCTGAATTATTTGTATGTGGAATATTGGTTCCTTTCTCTCAAGCAGATGGTCTCCAATTTCCAAGGAATTCCCTAATTAGTCGCCTCTTAAGATGCTTGTTAGGAAAGCAGCAAATCTATTATTGTTTTTCCCTTAATGGGATCACAGAAAGCATATATATATATATATATATATATATATATATATATATATATATATATATATATATATAAAATGTATATATATACAGAGAATGGTACAATACAATAAATCAAATGACATGTGGATATTTGTTTCAATTATTTATAATCCATATTTATAACGCAATATAGGTGGAAGGGAAATCAAAATAACTACGTATTGAATCATTTTTAACGTATATATTGCGAGCAAAGTCTTTTTTCAGTTATTGTAAATTTCTATTTCTGAGCACGACCTTTTTTCCCCCTCCGCCTACTCCCCCCCCCCCCCAATCCAATTACTTCAGCGAATTGCCTGATACCGGTTTTTAAAAAAAGGGGGGGGGGGGGGGGGTTAGGATCTTCTATGTGTTATATCACGCGTTATTTCAGGTTGCCTTCATTTTTAAAATCTTACTGTGCGGGTTCTAAGGACACAAGGAGGCGATGGGAATCTATGACCCCCTTCCCCCCTCCTTTTCCTGCTTTCCACAATAAGCATGTCGTAAACGTTGACTAATAAGGGAGGCATTTTCTTCACAGTCGAAGTTCCTTTGCATAATAGGCACGGAACCAACAGTCTGCTTACAAAAAAGCAAGATCTGTGAAACGAATGTGCACGCAAAACTCGAGATCTTAAACACAGGAAAGTCTAAAAGTGGACAAACAACTAGAACTTCCCACCGGAGTTTATAGAAAAGGAGTGGGAAGAAAGAGAAGATTTCTTTAATCTTCTTTGTTTTCTTTCTTACCACACTCTATCATTTGCTATTTATTCCTGAACGCCATCTTGACGCTGCCGTTACATGCTTTTTTTTTTTTTTTTGGCGTCACCTGGCGGTATTTTATTTGGTCACAGTAATTAATTGCTGACTTTCTACCCCACCAGGACATCACACAAGCGATAAACACCCGATGACACAAAGTGCCACCATGTGGATGAGGATCGCCGTGGAGAGATCCCAGAAACCGCGTTCAGACAATTGACCATATTTACGGCCTGCCTATATTGCGGCCCCTGGCAAAAGCCAGGGTGGGGCTTCAAAAACAAAACATTTCGTCTTAATAAGGACGAAAATGGATAAGATAGCATCAATTGCTGCCGACTCTTGCATGCCTCCAGTTGAGTATTAAACAATGAAGTACTGCTTTATACTAAAATACATTGATACAAAAGAATTCCAATGAAAAAAATGAAACTGTAACCTTACTTTACCTTGCTGAAAAGAGTCTACTAGGATGGTGCTGAGAGGGGATGAAGAGGAGCTATTAATGTTTGGAACGAGACTCCCCAACCAAAAAAATTTCAAGAATCTGAAATCCCACCCTGGCTCTTGCCAGGGGCCGCAATATACGCCAGTCGTGAATATGACCTAATGGCTGAACGCGGTTTCTGCGACCTCTCCACGGGTGATACTCATCCGCATAGTGGCACTTTGTGTCATCGGGTGTTTATCGCTTTTGTGATGTCTTGGTTGGGTAGAATGTACTACTACTACTGCACGCTCTCTCTGGAGTGTGTGTGGGCTGGCAGGGGGTCAATTGCGCTGTGTTTATTGATGCTGGCAACACTTGGCCTCATCGCGATAGAGTCTGGCTTGTGGATTATGGCGGTGGTGTATTCTATGATTAGTACGATAGATAAACTGTGTGGATATATCAGTGCGTATCATTGCACACAGGTATTTGATTTGTGTTGTTGCTAGAAGTGTACTTTCATTTATATTAGTTTGTGCTTATCGTGAGGCCTGTGTAGACACGATGTTGATCGTTTATGTATTGTTATTTGTGCACCACGCTGATTGTATGTAAAGTGAAATAAATAAACAGATGTTCAATGTGATTATTATAGTTTCAGTTGTTTTATTAGAGTTAGGACTTGTATTTTTAGTGTGTCTAGGTTTTACTGTTGCGGCTGATAAGATTTTATACAAAACATGTCTTGTCTGGGCTAGAATATTTATGATTCTAGTTCCTGCCTAAGGAACTCTTTTATTTATTTTTCTTGGTACTTAGGGCTTTGCTTCTAGTACACTAGAGACACCCAACCCCCCTGTTCACGCGCGTTTGTGTATGTGTGTCTTTTTTCGCTACTTGGACTTGGTTGAGGTTCATCAGGCTACAACCTCAGAAGCTAAAAAATAAAACTTTCTGGTCGTCTCCCCTGCATCTTTCCTGTTGTCACGATGTACTCAAGTTTTCTCCTCCGTGTGACGTGACCAAAGAATGTTGACTGTCATCCGGACAATGAATGTGAAATGAACGTAAAAAGTTGGATAAAGTGAAACATGACTTCTAAATCTAAGATGTGATAACATTACCCAGAAAGTTACTAACTAATTAAACAGAGATCTAGCTAATGTCAGACGAAATACTGCAGATATATCATTGTAAACATTATCGATCAGAATTCATATCTTCAAGCCATTGGCGTATCCGAATATCCCGCGAAGAATTGTGGCTGTCACACTTATATGAAAGCATGTTGGTTGGCAAGCCAGTGTTGCTTTTATCGCGATCCTTAAACAAGTCTTCAGCATGGGCACCCATCTGCTCTATCGGGTTCAGCTCGCACACAGAATCAGGTTTGCTGTTGGACACAGAGACTGAAGTGGATTCAGACTTGCCCGTCAAACTACTCGATGAGTCGGCTTCAAGGCATGCAGTTCTCATGCCCAGATTAAAGCCTTTGTCTGTGTTGTCTGAAGAGATTAGGTCACCCAGTGATTGTGATGATCTCGCACAAAGTTCCGGGGAAAAGTCTTCGTCTGGGTATGACATAAAGCGCCGCAGCTGCGCAGGTTTAAATCTGGCTTTGTCTGATTCTGCCAGTGACAGATCTTTATCCGAGTCTGAATCAGATGACAGTAGACCTATACTTCTTGCTGTACACTCGCTGTTCAACGATAGCGCACTTCCCGCGCGACTTCCGGAAGTGAGGACTTTGAGACAGCTATTGGACGAATCTATCGTCTGGACCTTCTCCCATTGATAGAACAAATGTTCTTTAGTGTTTATATTAGAATCCACAGATTTCCGGAGAGTTCGGGGAGAGCAGAAGACTTCTATATGATTGTCATGGCTGCTGAAACCGCCAGCCGGAACTAGACAAGGGGATTTGACTGTTGGAAGCCCAATATCCGACGAAGACCTCACCGGCATATGAGTACAGTTCCCGGTGCACAAATATTTAGCACCCACCCTATTATCCCCACTTGCCTCGTTGGAAACATCATCTGGAAGACTGCCCGAGTGTGTGGTCGGGGCTAAAGCGTTTGAGCACGACGACGCCTGAAGCGACGATGGTAAAGAAGACGATGTGTTCCTTCTCTGGTCTAAGATAATTTTGGGGATATCAGTTATTTCTCCAGGTTTCGACGAGGATGAAGATCGCCTTTTGGCACCGTCAATTATACGCGAGTCTGTTGGTTTTGACATTTTAATTTGGCTGTTACGTTTGTATGTTCATATGCTAGGCCAGTGGCATAGAAACTAAAGCTAAAAAACGCTGCCGTGTCCAACAGACCAGTGTTCGCTGGTATTCAGTCATCTTGTTAGAATATGACTGCATTTTGTTTAGTCTTAAAATGTTTACTGGAATTGATTCCGGCCAGAAAGGGGAGGTTCCTGTGGAAATTTTAAACAATTTAGTTTAATACGGAATTATCATAAACAAGAACATAAATGATCACACGAGCAGGTATATGGACAGACAGCCGGACAAACCGACAAATAAACAAATAAATACACTGACCAGAGATAGAACATAGGGACCGATAGATAAACAAAGAAATATACAGACAGACAGATATACATATTGGTAAGTAGGTGGATAGGTAGGTAGCTGGTCAGACAGACAGACAGATAGCTATAGATAGTATAGACAAATAGACAGACAGACAGACAAATAGATAGATAGATAGATAGATAGATAGATAGATAGATAGATAGATAGATAGATAGATAGATAGATAGATAGATAGATAGATAGATAGATAGATAGATAGATAGATAGATAGATAGATAGATAGATAGAGATAGATAGATAGATAGATAGATAGATAGATAGATAGATAGATAGATAGATAGATAGATAGATAGATAGATAGATAGATAGATAGATAGATAGATAGATAGATAGATAGATAGATAGATAGATAGATAGATAGATAGATAGATAGATAGATAGATAGATAGATAGATAGATAGATAGATAGATAGATAGATAGATAGATAGATAGATAGATAGATAGATAGATAGATAGAAAATCCTCTTGAATGTCACGTTGTCTTGTGGTTTTTAAGCTAGGGTGCGATTCTGTGTCTTTCTGTCCCAACACACATCTTATTAATCACTGGTTGCGACATGCCTGTTGGGGTACCATTGGATTTGTAATTGTAATCTCTATCTAGCTGTCGTGGTTGCGTAAGTAAAAACCCATAATATAAAATTCACTAGCATACCTAATGTATATATGCATGTAAGTTGTACCCAACCAGGACATCACACAAACGATAAACACCCGGTGACACAAAATGGCACTATGAGGATGACGATCACCATTGGAGAGGTCCCAGAAACCCCGTTCATCCGTTAGGCTATATTTATGACCCGGCTATAAATATGGCCCCCGGAAAAGCCAGACTGTGGCTTCAAATAACGAAAAATATTGCATACCACATGAGAACGGCATAGATGACTAGATTGTTGAAATCTGTTAGCTGACATAATTTGAGAGCCCGCCGGCACATCATATTAGGGCAAGAGCAATCTCCAAAAATTGATCAATTCGTCAACTTGGAAATATGGATGGGAAGCCTTTTCTATCATATGAGGCTTGATATAGAGGAAATATTGCCTATAAATGAAAATATAGAAAGATTTTTCACAAAATTAAGAAAGAACTCGGAATAAGATGGAAGAAATAATGCTGGAGGTTTGAGAGAAGGGGTGATTAAGGTAGTGGTGGCGGCGGTGGTGATGGTAGTAGTACTTGATAACCACTGTCGTGAGTGAATGACGTTCAACCCCGCCAGGACCGCACAACAGCAATAAACACCAGGTGACACAAACTGCTACCATTCGGATGAGAATCACCCGGGCACAAGTCACGGAAACCCCGTTCAATAGTTAGGTTTTGTTAGGTTCCAAGACAACAGCCGGGGCGGGGCTGACGTTTTACGGCTTTCAGCCACTCCAGTACCAGAGTCCATTAACACAACCCAACCCCGGTTACGCCCTATAGGCCAACCCCTCCCTCCCTCCTTAGACACTTAGTGTACGCTGTTGGCGTCCAGCCCGTCATTTTTTGGGCCCCTACCTGCGCGTTGGAGGTATATAGGCTGACCGTCGTTTCATTTGAACGAAGTTTTTTCGCCAGGGACACTAGATGAGTATCGTTAATTTTATACATTAGAGTCCTATGTAGTCACTTCATAGTTAGAGCCTATTTGTGTATGTGTACTGTGTTGTCCTTTATGTGCTGATGAAGGCTAATCGCCGCAACGTCCTTTGTTTATTGTGATCGATTTTGTAAAGCTAACATAAACTAATTGTTGTTTCTTACCAACTTTTTCTCTTCCCTATAATTTTCTACTCCTTATAAAAAGTTAATCTCTCGAGAACTGCCTTGTCTATCTAAAATGCTCCAGTTTGTTTAGGGGACTTAACTCCCAACACAGTTTTGTCCTTGCAGTTCACAGCTTTTTTTTTTTTTTTCTGGCTAGTTTTTGTTTCCGGTGGTCAGAGATTCAACTGTCCAGATATATGTGATTCCCCTCGAAGACACTTCATTTGAGTGATTCTGTGTATTCTTGTTAGTGGTACTGTATATTCATGTAAAGTGCTGATTAAGGCTTTCTTGTCGCAATGTTCACTTGTCGTTTGTGTGTGTGATAATGTGAAGCTGACTGGTTTTACTTTTCGTTTTAGTTTGAAACCTTTTCGTAGTAGTAGTGGCTGTGGTAGATGGAGGAGGAGAAAAAAAAAAAAAACGACGAAGGAATAAACAACAAGGTAAAGAGAAACGATGGGGGAAAAGCAAAAGGTTGAAATAGAAAGACGGGAGAGCGTGGTGGAATATATACTAACACGAAATGGTAGGTTTAAACTGAAAGGGTACAGGGGATAGATCTGTTAGAAGAGAAGCACAAAACCAAGAAATATCTGAAACAAAATGGAATGAGAAAGAACAGAGATGATGGGTTGAGTAAAAAGAAGGTTTAGAAGAGATCAAAACAGAGAGACTATAATATTTTTTTTTTAAAAAGAAAAAAAAAAGAAATGAGTTCACACACAAAGAAAGAAAGTGGAAAGAGACTACCGTAAAACCCCCGTGTGGGTTCCGGGGCCCCATTATGGAGAAAACAAGAATAGACTCGCTGCCTCCCCAAAAGCATGTCGTAAGAGTCGACTAATTGGGGAGCTTCCTTTGAAGTCGGAGTGCATCTGCCGGAGAGGCAAGGAACCAAGAGTCTGTATTCAAGAGAATGAGATCTGTAAAACTGATGCACACGCAACACAGGTTCTGGAGCAGGACTGCAGTTCACTAGTGGAGGAGCAACCAGAACTTTTCGCCAGAGTGTACAGCTGGTGAAGGCGAAGAAGAAGACTAACGTAAAACTAACAAAATTAAAGATATATATATATATACAGAGAGAGAGAGAGAGAGAGAGAGAGAGAGAGAGAATACAATTGAAGAAGAAATATAAGGTTAAAAAGAACATCAGAAAGAAAAAGAAAAACCAGAATAGCATGTTGAACAACATAACAAATAATATCAAATGAAAAATAAAGAAAAACGAAGCAGAAAGACATTCACAAATGACAATAATTCCTTCTAGCCAAGAGAGAGAATGCAATTATGATTAGAAAACGCGCAATGACCCGATACCTGAAGTTCAGTGATGGCCAGGCTTACACCGAGGTTAGATAATATCGATTTATGTCACATCTGCTTTCCGTAATGCCAGGAAATAGATTAATTCGTTTCTGGCTATCGATTGACAATTTTAAATTGAGTAAACAGACAAGGAGAGAAAAGCTGGCATCTGAGGGCGGACATCGTCAAATTCTTTACCGGCTGGCTTGGGAGACAACATGCCACCAAAACTTGGGTGACCCATATTTTATTGAAATAATTATCAGATATACAAGTGAGCGATTATAAAATTAGTAAATATAAAGGTCTCTTTTCCACGCCTTTAGGCGTATATGGTATGCAGGGCTAGACCTATATTTTATAGACCAATCGGCACAAGATGGGCGATGCGGTAAGCTGCCTTCTTCATTACAATTCTCTGGATTTTTTTAAATAGTTGTATTAGTCAGTTCATATACTGATGGCCTTCCATACCACGATTCGAGATTGTCTAGTATCCTGTTATATCCTGAAACAATCAATCTGAACGAGACGTACTCTTCTCATTCTTCTGCGCTGGCCCATAAAAGTAGCGGTTGGCACGTAGTGCTGTGGTTTACGGTTAGGCTGCGATATGTGCGCCTTTTAGCTGAACACATCTGATTCCAGAAAGCCCTGAATTGGTTTTACGACATGCTACTTGGGGTGGGTGGGGAGGTGGAGGGGAGGGTGGTGGTTGTACCATTGGCACCGGATCATGGAGGTGCAGCCACCTCGAGGCATCTGTCAGCAGTTTCTTTAGGATATATGGAGAGCCCCCTCCCCCGCCCCCAATAAATAAGGTATCAAGGAAAGATATAAACCGAACGAAAAGTATATCAGCGAGCTTCTTAAAATAACAAACACACACAAAACCTGAACGTTGCGGCTATATAGTCTTCGTCAGCACATACATGAATAAAACAAAACAACACGAATACACAAAATCACTTAACTCACGAATCTAGATGTAGCCATGTGGATGTCTCGCCAGTGCATAATTGAGGTGGGAGGGAAAGGGCTAGGCTGAGCCGCCACCCCCGAGTACGTTTTCAAGGGAGCTAAAGGTCTCCTTAACCACGTACGGACGTTCTTCTTGGGAGGTCTCCTTTTTTCGTTCTATTCTTCTTTTCCCACAAACATAGGGTCCCTGCATGTCCTTCTGTAGCCATAAATGTATAGTCTAAAGATGGACGTGGGTCCCAGAACCCAAACCGGAAGAAAAAAGAAATGATTACCGGCACCAGAAAATTCCATCTTCGCCACGAACAGACGCGCGACACACCTTCAATCTGCAGCCGTCACACTAAAGTCTCTTTACACACATTTTAGAAAACGGATAACTGGCGGAAAGAAACACATAGGGCGTCGGCGAACGGAAGACCGGTATGTAATGCATTGGTTTTAAAAACGGGGGGGGGGGGGGCGCTAGGGGCAGTGCGCGTCAAACAATGTTGATATTATTGCTAACAAATTATAAATATATCAGATTAAGAGCCATAAAAACAATACAGAGCTGTATTCCTTTCTTTTAATTCA